CGTTTGATCGTTACTATTTCTTCTGCTTCAATGTCTTATGTCGATCTTAAGCTACCATTCTGTAGAACTTACTTCTTTGGATGACATTCTGGAGCGAGATCGCTCTTCGCCACTGTAGGACTAATAGGAACTTTGACTATCATGAAGTAGGATGTTTGACTAAAGAAAATCCAAAAATTCTTGGAAAGGTCTTTCAAGCACATAGTTTTCATTGCACATCTATTCTGAGCTTTTCAATAGTATAAATGCGTTTATGAAAAACATTGGAAAAGCAGTTGTTACAGTCCAATAAAATAATTTGTGAAGGGAGTTTTGCGTTCTGCAAACTCCATATTTTAAATCAGTATTTTTATTTGCCAGGTGTAAGAGTTTTTGGCTTGCCCGGTTTCCTTGAGGCAAATTGCGACTCTTTGAGGTTTAGAACCCTCTTTGAAGAAGGCACAGTAATCGTACAGTAACGAAGAGATACGAAAATCGCTCCAATAGTAAATCTAAGTTGAAGCCGCTTTTACAGATGGTATCTGCAGATTGGTAAAAGATGTTGACGTTAGCAAGTTATTAATACCAAGTTATGAACGATTAAACAACACATTTATTAGAACACTATATGAATTAGTATAGGAAAAGTTCAAAAGGCAGCATCAATTCCGTTTTTTTGTACAGTTCTTTTCTGTTTTATTACTTCTGCTGATTTTTCACGTTTGTTTCTGCATCGGTTGATTTTTCATCCATGATTTCGCATGGTCAATTTAATTCTATTCCAGATTATTGTCTAGTTTGACAAATGATTCATATTTTCACTATTGCCTCTGCAGTTTTCTGGCCGGTTTGTTCATAATCTACATGCCATTTAAAAGAATCACAGCACATATATGTTGTGCTCATGATGCAATATTTATAGAGTGAGCATGCATTTCTTACAGTTACCGCTTCCAAAATTGGTTGCAAATCAACCTTGATCTGGTCAGTTTCACCAAGAATGCTCATTCTTACTGTTATCACTGACCAGAAGACTTAGGCGGTTTACTCAGGGGGCTACTTAAGTTGCCTTTCTAGTCGGTAGTATCAATTATCATTGTATGAGATATCATCTGTAGATCTTAACCCCCGTTTTACTCTCAGCTCGAGCTTTGGAGGTAAGCTCTTGAAGAGATTAGAGCTGGGTTTCGAAGTGTTCACAATGAGACTCGCATTGGAAAGCTTCCAGAGTTTATCATGGACGAGTTTTAAGCGGGCGTTATAACCAGCTGTGGGCGTAACGACCCCGCGAGTGGGCGTGGTCGTCACTTCGCCTACCTGGAAGTATGGTCGTCAACGCTAGTTCCCCCCCCCCCCTTGGGTAATTTCTTTGCTTCTGCTGTCATGATTTCGTTTCGGTCATGCTCAGACGGTGATCATATTTGAGGGCTTGGTAGAGGCCAAGCATTAATGCCCATGGACGCGCTGCAATGTGCCAAGTTGATAATTCGGCCTTCATACATCAATTCGCATGATTGTCCCCTCCGAAAATTGGTTGTGACTAAACTATAATTCAAAAAAAAATGGTTATCACCCGCGTTAAATCTTCATACGCTATTCTCAGTTGTAGCCAAACGAGGCATGCTTCTTTTTCGGCACTAGATGTGCCTGATTTCCATTCCATTTAGTACAGCTAATGGCTTTTGATTGTTCATCTGGTTGCCGTTCAAAAGCACTATGATAGAAATGGTGATTTGCTCATTTGCTCTGGCCAACATGGAAAAATCGAAACGTGCCTATCTTAGTGAGGGAATTATTCTAACCTGAGCTGTCAGAATCTGAATAGATTAATTTTTTGGAAGATGCATTAGTTTCGGCACAAAATCTTGGTTAAATCTGACAATACGATTGTTGGAGCCTGTGCTTTTTGCAAACTCATTGTTTGTGAGTATAGTACCCTAAATTTTTACATACAGGGCCTCTCATCAGATAAGTCTGTCTGCAGATAAGTCTGTCAGTAAGTCCGAACTCATCTGACAGTCTTCGGACTTACTGACAAAATTTTAGAGTATTTATAATGGAAAGAAAAAGGATTAATCTGTAGAGCGGACTTATCTGTAAGGTCTCATCTGGGTGAAAAAAAAGGGGGCTTATAAGCTTTTAGGGTAAGCGCAGTGTTCCATTTTACATCATCCATTCTGAGCACATCGCTCTTTCCGTTCAAGGGGTTGCGATTGATGAGCATGTTTACTCTTGTTCATACAAGCATTGCTGCAACGCGCGTGCAAGCGCATTATTCTTTCAAGATGCCGCGCCATGGGTGAGTTCTTCATATTCTAGCAATGGGTTCCGAGACTATCTGTTTCCACGGAATCAAAGCCGCAGTGATGACTAATGTGTCTCATACCACCTCGGTGTGACAATCGAAAAACATAGATTTAAAAGATAGAAAGCTATGAAAGTGCGGATTTTTGCTTACCTGGACTTGTGCGTTTCGCTAATAGAAAGCGTTTCGTCGCGCTATACTTGATCCATTGATCCGCTATCCACTTGTGATCAAATCAGTGAATTGGCCAACAGAGAAGCGGAACCCTTGATCCACTTTGTCCGCTTCATCCATTTCGCTTTTGGTCACTTCACTGATTCGACTAATAGCGAAGTGGATGAAGTGGACCAAGCGGGTCGAGCGGATGGCTGCACGTCAGGAGGTACGCCGCGCGCGGCGGCCGCTCTTCCGCACATGCCGCGTCCAAATCTTGGGGCCTCCAAAACTTTCCTCCAATAGAGATTCCCGGCGGCAAAAACAGGGGTGAGTGTGGGGGCAGGTACATGACTTAATGCTACAACTAGGGCTGCGCCAGGAGCGCTAGTGTTGTAAGGGCTGAAGTGCGTTGCGGCGTCGTTTCGCGAAAAACCCGCGCCGACCGTACCTCCTGACCGTCCCCCGAGTGGATCAGTTGTCGTGGGTAGGGTACAAACTCCGCCAGTTTGGTAGATGCTAGAGTAAGCGAATATTTTGTTCAGGGGTCGCGCAGAATGGACGTCACTCACCATGCTGGCGTCAATCCAAGTGACGTCAATCTGCGCGGCCCAACTTGAACAAAATATTCGCTTACTCTGGCACCTACCTTTGAGCCGTCTCCGCGGACTACTGGTCCTGCAACGACATGCAACAATACAACAAAAGGACCAGTTGCCAGCGAAGGCAGGCTCAAGCTGGCGAGTTCGTTCTCCCACCCCGGTTGCAGCGCATGCCTATGAGATATCCGGTGACAGGACGACACTACAATTGCCGGATTTCAAATAAAGCGCGATATCTATCAGTCCTGTCTGTTAGGATAGGTCAGTTTCTCAGATTTGAAAACTTGGCTTAGGGTATTCGCCCCGCCGACGCCGAAGTCATACTTACTTCATGCGGTAGCGCCACTTTCCGAGGATAGCGGTGGGCACTAGGGAGTCAAAACCAATTGTGCTCTGGACTTTTCATAGGCGGTCACACAGCCAGCTAGAGATAGATGGGTGGTCCAAATTTAATCAAAAGTTTGTCTAGAAGAGCATGCTTCTAGACAAACTTCCGAGCATGCTGTTCACGGATACCATGCTTGCTCGCTGCAAACTTATTGTGGAGCTGTGATTTGCAGCGTTTGAAAAATAAACATGTTGTTATAAGACTACTTGGAAATAAATTTTTGTCATGTATTTTGCTCAAACTTTGGAGAGGGGGGGGGGAGTCAGAACATCTGGCTGGAATCTGGATTAGAGGCATTCGAATCGGTTGAACCTGTGAAGTCTGGCACCTACCTTACATGTTGTCAAGTAGCGCGCATTGGCGTATTGCACAATGCAAGCTACTTGACGACTTTTAAGGTTTAGAAACTGCTCATTGCAGGGATTTTTTCTTGTATGTTTTGATTTGATGCGACACGTATTGGTGACGATTCAAAACACGCAAAGACTGGGCGCCGTTGCGTCCGACAAAAATAGTTGATGCTTGGGAGAGGCAGCAGGTGGTAAGAGAAACGAAAGAGCGCTTGATCAAAGAGACGTCGATACGTCCACAGTCTTTGCGTGCAACGAATCGCCTATATGTATTTAGAGATACAATTTATTGATCTAAATAACGCTAAAAATGCGAAAATGTCAAAAACGAGTTCTTGATAAAGCTGCTAACTTGAAATCGGACGTGTAGAGCGGACTTGTCAAGGTTCAGAACGCAGGGTTGTTGGGACTCCATGGTCGTAACTGTGTACGACATGCGCGCTCGAGCTTGATACTGAAATCGCTGGATGGACGGATTATTCTGAGAAGGGGACGGGATCACTAACTCCCCTAAAGCGAATCCTAGGCTTTGTAGACGCTTTTTTTTTCGCTCACGACTTCACTGCTTGCGTGTTAGAGGGCCTGCTATTGCAAATGAACCACATATACACTCTCTTTGTCTATCTGCTATCAGGTTGTGTACAGTGGTGGTTGACTTAGCAGCACTCAAGAAGATTTCGCGATTTCTTTCTAAGCACTGTGCCAACAAAAATTGGGGTAGAGCACTTGATGAAGAAGTAGAATGTTCTCGTTGGGTGACGACATAATCCTTTGAATTGACGTTGCCAACATTCGAGTGGTTCTGGCGGCGCGATTGCTGGAAACGCTGATGACCTAGCCCGATTATTTCTTCGCAGACTGTGACCCCATCCGTTCATCCTTTACATAACAGCAGATGATCTTGGTAAATGATATACACATATTTCCTACTTGCTTACTTTGGAAAAGAAAACAGTATATATAAAGCTGGTTTTTGATAGTTTGAAGTAGGAAATGTGCTTGCTCTTTTATTGTCGAAAATTATTCGAGGACATTTTCATTTTCTTCATCTCATATCTTTCTTTGCGAAAATTCATACATTTTTTTACTCTTTCCAATTCGACGAGTCTTTTGCGCATTTGAAGTACGGCGCGAATCTTTTCTGGGCGGGTGAATCCAAAAACTCACCGTTTTGAAATTAATCGATTCGCTGAGGGTTATGCGCCAGAGGTAGTTCAGGTCTTCTACCACTTGCCTGCTAGTGCCATTTCGAATCACAAATTCGCGTTTTGGTTGTATACAAAACTGGCCAGTTTTTGTGACAATATTGAATGTCTGTAGATGTGGTTGAGAATAAGTCCTCGTTTGTTTGCTTTTTTGTTGTTATGGGTATAGTATATCAAACTATTTTGTCTGCTTCTCGATGAACTTTGAACCGTTATCTTGTTATTGAATCAATCCATTTTGCAACCATCAAGAAAGGGCGTCAGCAATAATCACACATTCTCACTTCATGGTTTTTCGCTTAGTTATGGAATGGTTTTGATTTGCGAGAATTTGGATCAAACTTTAAGTACATTTCCATCACAATAGGCGGCTTTTAGTGCATCGAACTCGTCAGAATAGATGTTTGTAGCAGTTCTGTTAAGGACAAACTTTTTTTTTTGCCTAATTCGGTTCAGTCGCTTTAGATCTACTTCTTTACACACAAATTATTCCGTTCGAATTCGTAAACTTTCTTCTTTAAGTTCCAGCCAAATCGCTTCCAATCTTTTCAGAAGAATGCCGGTTCCTCCACAAGTCAAAAAAATGCTCGATGATGTCGATAAGCAGCTCCACGCGCAGAGTCCCATCAACAACGTCCTTGCGACTATTGAACAAAAGTCTGGAGTAAAAAGACTCCACATAGTCCTTGGTGCGTTCAAAGGGTTACAAATTGCTCTTATTTCAATTGAAAAACTGTGGCTTTAGGTGTTGCTGCATTGCAAGGTTTATATCTGATCTTCGGACATTTTGCTGAACTCGTCTGTAACTTTATGGGCCTCATTTATCCTGCATACGTGAGGTTCGTGATTCAAGTACGTTGGGAAATGGATTTGATCTTATCTTGATTTTAGCATAAAGGCAATTGAAACCGCAACCAAAGAGGATGACACGCAGTGGCTTACGTACTGGTTGGTTTTTATTTGAAGTTCTTTCTTGATTTTGACTCAACCAGAACGTCTTTTATAATGATTTTTGTCAACGGGCTACAAGCGGTCTTATCAGCCTCTAATACTCCTTATTTGCGATTGCCATGTTTGTCATCGTAATAGCAAACATTGAGCACTAGAGCACACAGTTGCATCTTGGGTGCAGATAAGGACGATGCTGGGTGGAAAAGTCATACTTGTTTCTTGATTTTATGAGACGAAGTTCCCTTTGAAAACGAGAGTTACTTTCCTATGAAAAGGGATTTTTTTCTAATGAGAGGAAGGAGTAAGCGGGGATGTTAGTGGGGACGGGGAATTTTCGAATTTGCAAAAAGGGGTGCAAAGGAGTACAAGTTAGTACTTTTGCGGATCTTCGGATGTTACCAACATCTCAAAATTTGAAACCCCCTCATTGCTTCAGCCCGCGTTCAATAATCCAGGGCATGTCTTCATGTAAAGGGTAGAGAAGAATCGATGCGCTTTCAACTTACTCTCATTCTGGAAGTGTCAATTGGACTCATCAGAAATCTATTTTTCGCAGACCTGCTGTACAACACCGCTCGTAATTTGTGAAAAAAATCACCGCACTCTGCCGGGGTGCGCCGAACTTTGGTTGCATCGCGACATCTTGCTTTGAGTAGACGAATTCTCAATCCAAAAGCACCATTCAATTCAGCTCGACAAGATGCATCTTTTGGTTTATAGAAGTGCCTGTTTGGGCACGATGGCTGATTAAATTTCAGGGACCCCTCCATGTTTTTGCTGCGGTAGGTTGGCCGTTGTGCAGTAATTAAACACTCTGAGTGACCTATCGTGAGCAAGAATCTGAAGGACTCTTGAAATTTGACCGACCACTTGTCCAAACAGGCACTTCTATATAAAGCATAAGCAAAGAAGCTCTGCATCTCGTTGAGCTGAGTTGGATGGTGCTTTTGGATTGAGAGTTCGTCCACTCCTCGGCGAACTCCGGCGGAGTGCGGTGATTTTTCTCACAAATCACGAGCGGTATTGTAATTTGATATTTTACAGGGTGGTATTTGCGACTCTTTCTGTTGTCGAGTTTTTCTCGCATCAAATTCTATCGGTATTCCCCGTTTACTGGTTAGTCAAGTCACTCTTCCTTCTCTGGCTTTACTTGCCATCGACTCTTGGAGCTAAAACAGTCTACCACAGGTAAAATTGCCAAGTACTGCTTTTTGTTCCCGTTTGATTTTGTCATGTTCCAGATTTATTCAGCCAGTTTTCTTGAAACATGGTGCGGAGCTCGAAAAGAATGTCGGGGACATTGCGGGCAAGGCAAAAGATGGTGAGTAGAAAGTTTTTGTTATTATCAGCGTTGTTGCATAGTGCTTCTCAACATATATGCGTAACCTTATACCACCAACTCATGAATAAAATTTAGCTTTGCGAAATGCAGCCAAGGAAATCGACCATTTGGAATAATTCTGATATCCATGAAGTCTTCCGCTAGTTAAAATTCCCCTTTGAGACCTCATCTCATCAGACTTTCCATTTTTTGGATCCTATTTTCTTTACCTTTATGCCTCGTTAGCTGTACTGGTCTTGCTTTTTCGTAATCTTTGAATATTCAACCTGTTTACTCTGTAGAGGATTGTAGAGTCTTATTCTTCTGCATAAATCATGAATTTGTCGCTGTATGGAATGTTTTTTTGTTCTATTTCTTACAAATGATAAAGAGGTTAGTCGTATCTCTATCAATACAGTTGTTGTTGTTGCTGTGTTATGCTGATCACATTAGTTTTTTGCTGATCGTAGTCCACACATTGAGGGAAAAATCAGATTAAAAGTGATCTAAAATTTCTCCACATATTAACATCAAGTCGGCTTGTAACGTGTAAAATGCAGCTACGCTGCTCTTTCGTGGTGCTGTGCGCGAATTAATCATCTAATCTTGGATAGAAACTTGTTCGCTTTGTTTGCATTTCTGATCTGCCCTGACTCGATGTAAATCTGGTGAATGATGCATGCTGCGTGACTAAATGTATGACAGTTGAGAAGTCGTTAAATATCAGGACTCGAAATTTTCATCATTTATCAGTAAGCTAAGATACATCCGATAGTTTCATATCAAAACCTGCAGTTGACTGCTTCTCCCGTTGTCCTGCTTTTTACAAAAATCATATGATGATCAAAATCTCTATACAAAGGGGATAAAGAGAGGGAAAAGGAACTACCGGTCATCTGCTTGAGCACTGCCCAGTTTGGGACTGTTGGTCCCTACCTATTTCAATATGTTCAAGGCTGCGTTCATACTGATCCGGAAGTTCGGCCACAGTTCCAAGCAGCCGAACTTTGCTAGAACTGCTGTATGTGGCAGCCGCTCACACGATTTTCATCGGTGGCAAATGGTAACATTCCGCTATTTTCAACGGTTTTGGCTCATTCTCGTCTCATTCTTGGATTTCGTTTCTTTTTTTGTGTCGTGTGTTGCTTGAAGGCACCGTCCATCCTAAGTTGAGGGTCTTGAGCTTTTGGCAGTTTATGATCTTAGTGCCCTAAATCAAGCCAATACCCAAGTCGCAGCGCAAAATCTTGCTTCGGAAGCAAGAAAATTTATCCGGAATAACGAAGATGTACAAGAACCCCCAGACAGCACCGCCCTCTCCATCCATGCCCGCCCATCTTTGCGTGTCCAGCGAATCACCGTTCCGGAAAGCTCACCGTTCAGAGCCGGCCTGCGGGTTCTCCGGAACGGGGATTGTTGGGGTTTTCACGGATTCTTGACTTCATATTCGGAATCAGGGACATGAACAGGTCCCGAAACAATCAAAACATGGAAGTCGAGAATCTGGGTAGACGGTGCCTTTGAAGCCGTATGCGGTCCGTGCTCCTGCAAGTGGTTTTTGTTGGAACCCTTTTTATATTTCAGCAAATTGCTGCATCCTTGTTATAACCAGCTGTCTTGAAACAGAACGGATACATTCATCACGATAGCGGGGACTAAGAATTTATTGTATTGGGATTAGATTTGGAGGTTTCCTATAACAGATCACACTGCATGAGAAAATCTTCTTAATTGGAGTGTGTAGTGCACAAGAAGTTTTGAGCCAAGACGGTTTTTGAGGAACCAAAACAAGATAGGGTTCATTCTCGAAACCCGCTCCAAATTTGGGACTTTTTTCATCACCGAAGAGAGCGAGATACAAGAGTGAGGCAAAATTGAGCACAATTTACAGCTTACATGGGGTGTTCTGCATTGTTTTTGCGGATGATTTCGATTTATACAGTGAAGGACGGTTTGGTCATGGCAAGCTGCAAAGAGCCTTCAACGAAGCTCATACATGGTCGCAAGAGTGGTCTCGAGCTATCTTGGAGGAAAAAAACCAAAGTAACTCATGTTGGACCCAAAAACTCCAATCTCAAACCTAAGTATTATTTGATTAAAGAATTTTACCTTCAGGAGGTTGATTCAATAAGAGATCCGGGCTTTCAGGTCAGAAGTGACCTCACTTCGGATGATCGCCGTGAATTGATCTCAGATAAAGTCATTAAATCGGTATACAGTCTGTTTAGAGCCTTTTCAGTTGAGGAAGTGACTAATTTTTGAAAGCGTATAGATCATAAGCCCATGATGAAGTACGTTAAATTTTGTCCTTATTTGCGCAAAACAGTCGACTATTTTTTATTTTTTTTATTTCATGCATACACTCGTGGTGCACCATTAAAAAAACCAACGAACAGAAAATCAGGCAACTATATGAAGAAGACAAAACAATTTCATGCGAAAATTTTTTCTTCGGGCAGTTGGCTACACATATGCATACCGGACAGTAAGACTCGTAGCCTCACAAGGAAACCGTGTCGAGTAGAAGTGGCCTTTCCAGATGAGACCCATACTGCTTTGAAGAGTATTAAGCGATGATTCCAAATTTGCCTTCCAATTCTGCCAAGCGCCTCTGGCCGCCGAGTTATGACCGTTCTTCGAAACGAAAAATGAATGCAGAATTTAGGTAAAATTGATTGTTACAATCTTTCCAGCGCTCAGATAAAGCAATATTAAGTATTAGCATAACATATAAAATGTATCCATTGCATAGACAGCCCTGATACTTGACATTGGACCATTTGAGCAAATTTGGGCGATTTTGCTTCAGTTTTGCGTTCAATTTTTTGACCTGAAAAACGAGCATAACTCGGCGTCCAGAGGGCGCTTGGCAGATTTGGGAAGCAGATTTGGAATCAACGATTAATGCTCTTCAAAGCAGTATGGGTCCCATCTGGAAAGGCCACTTCGACTCGACACGGTTCCCTTGTCAGATTGGACTTTCTTCTCTTGCTCATAGAAGGCGCAAATTTGATCTCTCAATGCCACATAAAATCGCATGTGGAAATTACGGTCTTGACTTCAGTTCTCTTTTACCCACATGCAGTACAAGAGGTGGGTTAGGAAACTAGTCATTTCATCAAAGCTTAACGTTTGGAGAAATTTTTCACTTGCCGCAACACTCATGACATGGACAAGCTTCTTAGAAAACGATTATTCTTGCTAAGTTGTTTTCTCAAGATTGTTCTAAGTAATTATCTATAGTTACAGACGATATTGTTACTAGGGCGGGTTTGAGTGCTAATAACTAAATTTTGCGCTTTTGTATTGATTTGTTAATTTGTTTTTGTGGTCTTTTCATTATCTGCCATAGGGGTAACCCTACGTAATACCTTACGAATCAAATGAAATATTTCAGTAAGTTGCTGCGTCTTTGTTGAAACCAGCTGTCTTGAAACAGAACCGATGCAGTCATCATGATAGCGGGGATCAAGAATTTATTGTTCTTTGATGGTATTAGGTTTTTGGAGGGTTCAGCCGCATTTCTTCTAGCAGATCATACTGCATGAGAAAATCTTCGGGTTTGTAGCATGTACTAGAAGTTTCGAGTCAAGATATATTTTGAGAAACACAAAACAAAACAGCATTCATTCTCAAACCCCGCTCCAAATCTGGGACTTTTTTCATTACCGGTGGGTGCGAGGTACAAGAGTGAGGCTAAATCGAGCACAGTTTACAATGAACACCGTTGAAAACAGTATAGCCGGTGTCAATCACGTGCTCCCTTTTTCGAGCACAATCGCCACGCCAGAGCTTCGTGCCACATCCGCAAGCTTATGGCTTATGCATTCAAACTGACCTCATCGACTGGACGGCACGCAAGGGCCTCGTATTGTGCATGCGTGGTCTTTACGCGAAAGAGAGCACACAACTGATGCAGATTGTCAAAATTGCTACTCCCCGCCGCTAATACTGCATGCGGCTGCTGCAGCTTTGTGATTAGGAGACGTCTCAACTTTTAGCACTACGTAATAGCAGCGGTCATTTTTTTCCATACAAAAAACAAGGATAAGAGGATTCAGATCTGTTTACCATCAATTGAAGTTCCGGACATCCATGCAGTTTTTTGGAGTCAACGATAAATCACGGTGATTGCGCACGATATTTCAAGATATGATATTTTCATTTAGTACTCATCTATCATTAGTTAACAATATAACGCTTAGACCATCTGTCTGTTTGTCTGTGTATGTATATCTGTCTGTCACGAAATTCATGGAGCGGGTTGCAGCTAACATCTCGAGCCAGAAATTTGCACAGCGCATGTCACCAGTATGTAGTCCCAAAATTTAAAAGCACGAGCGGATTCGCTGCGTGGAACCTACGGAAACTGCGCATCAAACGGGTCCACGCGCATTTTAGCGCGTAAAACCAAGCCGTACATACGTACAACTGCTATATTTTTCTGGAAATTGAAAAATAAGAACAGACAAAAATTCGAAAATATTGCTTCTTTCGGTTTTTCCATGTTAAATGATGTTTCTCGACATTTAATCCTCGATAAGGCTGAAAATATCAGGTTGTCCCATAAGTTCCGTCCGTTTTGATTTTCAATCGCAATAAATCATGAACTTCTTGCTTCTAGATAGAAACCAAGGTACCATTCGATAGAGCAAAGCAAGCTCTACAAGAAGGCTATCTCGGTTTTGCACCAGCTCTGATTTATCTCGAGTTTCAAGGCGAAAACTAAAAAGATTCAACTGCCTGAAAAATCGAGAAAAAATCATAACTCCGTCTAAAAAAGTCCTACAAACACTCTAACTTGCTCGCGTAAACACTATCCACCTAAGACATTTACACACGCTATTGCCGTATTTTTACCATGGTTAGAAATTAAGAAAACGAAGATTTTCACGTTTTTGCTAAAGCGATGTTGTGCTGTCCCTACACAGATACTTGTATACTACCAGCCCGTAGAATCACAAATGTGAATTTTTAGCTCTCTACAAGCTTTGGTTCTCGAGAAATATCGAATACAGCTTGCCTTAGTTGGACGCCTTACGCTAAAATCCATATTTCTCGAAAACTAGTGCCTGTAGAGAGCTGAAAATTTACATTTGTACTTCTACGGGCTAGTAGTATACAACTATCTGTGTAGGGAGACAGTACAGCATTGCTTTAGCAAAGACATGAAAATCTTCGTTTTCTTAATAACCATGGAAAAAATACGGCAACAGTGTATGTAAATGTCTTAGGTAGATAGTGTTTACGCGAGCAAGTTAGAATTTTTGTAGGGCTTTTTTAGACGGAGTTATGATTTTTTTGTCGATTTTTCGCAGTTGAATCTTTTTAGTTTTCGCCTTGAAACTCGAGATGGATCAGAGCTGGTGCAAAACCGAGATAGACTTCCTGTAGAGCTTGCTTTGCTCTATCGAATGGTACCTTGGTTTCTATCTAGAAACAAGAAATTCATGATTTATTGCAATTGAAAATCAAAACGGACGGAACTTATGGGACAACTTGATATTTTTTTATACTTCTAAAGGCTTATAGTATGATTTACTATGTCAGGACACCAGCATTGAATTTGCTAGAACGTGTTAAATTTTATCATCTCAAATTCTAGCCATGGAAAAAGAAATAAAGAAAAATAAAGAAAGTAGACATTTGCATAGCTGTTGCGATAAGTAATTCTTGTGAGCAATTTGCAAGTTTGTAGGGTTTTCTTAACAAAGATCTTGTTTTTGAGATTAGATTTCGACCTTTCTCCCTGACCTTCCGTGTATCAAACTTTTCAAGATTCTTCAAACATCATTTAATAGGGCTTGCTTTGCTCTATCGAATGATAGGTTTTATAGATCTCTTATCTTTTCTGCCGCTCAAGAGTAAGCAACATGCATTTATTATGCATCAACCTACTAATAACTGTTGACTTCGATCGCTAAGCTTGCATTGCGGATAATGTTTAAAGGATCTTATACCTTTCAAAGATGATTTACCTTGAGAAGCCAAAAGCAGCATCAGAAACGCACTTTGCTTGAATTAGGCTCGGCACTTTTGCATCAACTTACAGTAACTATGTGCCTATGCATATGCAATCCTCGAGCGGTAATTTGTAGACATCTGACATTTGCCAGCGCTCAGCGACAGTCAATTTTCAGGACGCGTGAACTATGGTCGATGTATTGAAGGCGAAGAGCGTAAGCAGAAAATCAACAAGCGAAAACGCTCAGACCGTACGATAAAGATTGTTCCGGTGGCTTTTGATGAGAAAGTGATGAGTGTTCAATCTTAGACTCGTTACTTAATCCGATTAGGTTGATCTTTTCTAAGAGTGAGAGGCAAACTTGGGAAAAGCGTTGAAGAAAATTATCTAAACTATGTCGCAATTATCGATTATTGTGCACTCGGCCTACTTACTAGGTCTTGTGCAATGTTGCCACATATTGCATTCCAAACAACTGGAACCTTCATAAATGCAGGGCTTTTACGATCAGAACCCATTCGTCTTTTCAAGCATGTCCGAAGACAACCAGATTGCCATCAGACTCTGCTACGCAAATATCCCGACCATCACTATCTCCTACAAAGACAAGAACGATCTATTCAAAAAGCTCAGACGTCAAATCAAAACGCTACCTTTTGACGCTCATGAGCTTTACTATAATAATAACGAGTATGGCCGTTCCGAACTTAGAACTGCTGACGATCTATTTGAAAGAGTCGGCGCAGGCAGCAATCCTGTAAACCTCTACGTCCGCAATGACGACCACAAGCATGGCTTGGTTTCATGTTTAAGCACAGACGAAGACGAAGAGGAAGTTGATGCTGTGAAAAAGAAGAGAAATGTAAGAGTTTCCAAGTGTACATCTCAACGACATCAATCTGGTTCTGAACACCGTTGCCCTTATGTTCCTGTCTCTTATTATCAAGCACCGCCTGATTATTCTTACTGGACGTATCCGAATTACGTATGTGTACCTTTGTCTTATCGTTGTGCATGCAATATCAGTCGAAAACAATGTAGTTGTCCCTGTCATCATTAACGCGATTTTTTTTGTATTTTGCACATGTTGTTTATGCTGTACACTTTCACAAATAAAACTTTGAGCAAGAAGTATTCTCTAACCGGTTTCCAGTATAGTATTATAATTTTCACTTGCCCTAACTATAGCATTCGCAAACTCAGTAATTGCGCTAGGTGGTTGAAAATGGCGTGGATGTTGGTGTCGTTGGTAATAGGTATTAACGACCTGTATTCTCTTAAATCTGCATATGTGTTATTCTTCCTGTCGTGGACAAGTTGCAGGTTGTCCATGCACCTGTTTAGGAGCCGGGTCACCCCCGTGGCCCTCGATAATGCAGCGACGCCTATTTCAAGTAGGCGAACTCGTATTGTATTGATAGCATTTCTTGCCAAAAGTTGGCATCCAGGCTATACACGCCCAACTTGGCTGTATAAAAGAGCCTAGGTACCGAGTTCTGGAGTTGTCACTATCGCCTCGTTCCTGTTCCTCACTATTCCTACGAATAAAACGTTGTTGCCACCCAATTGGTTCAACCAAAATTGGCGGCAGTACACACTTTTCGTCGACAACATTGACATGAGTTTGCAAGTTTTTAACTAATCAAATGAAGTGAAGATATCCGATTGTAGTGCACTAGCTGGCAAATCTGGCTCCGTCCGGCCCTGTCAATACGGTGTCTGAACTGAATTTGTGAGAAAATTGAGTGAAACAACTGATTCATGAACCATAGTTATCAACGAATTGCTGTAAATTGTTGCCTAACAAATTGCTCGAGTGAATTGCTACAGCGAAATTTTATTGAATGCAAATGTAATTTCGCGTCTCAACCGAATTTGCACTTTCCAGTAACTTACCGGCAATTTAACCATCAACAATCACAAACTAAGCTGCTGGCACTATACATGAATAGCCAAGGTGTCCGTGTGAGAAAATCAAGGATCAATTTATATTCATAACGCATAAATTTCACCACAACTATGAGAAGGTCAAGAGGCGCGATTTTTTCAAAGGTCACCAATTTAACAGTTTAATTTATAGAATTGCGAGTCTTTTGATGATACCAGATAAAAAGCCACAGCTTACTAGCTATCTGAAGGTGTCACTTCAAGGTTTGACGGCTTCTGGTGAAAATTTGATTGTAGTATCCACAAAAACGCCATTAATTGCATTTTCACAGATTTTTGACTTCCGAAACTAAATTACTAATTTATATTAAAACGACAACATCGAGCAACCCATGAGACGATCGTAATGTATTGTTAAAGATTTGAAATTTTTCTAGAACATCATAAAATAATAAAAATGCTCCAATTAGTGTCCATCCTGCAATACAAATGGCCTTTTGACATGCGCCAAACTATGATAGCAACCCATGACTGTACATCTTGCGAAGCCTGCAGTTTAACTTCCCAGGCATTTCCTGCAAAGGTAAAGGCACAGATGAGTATACATTTATGAGTTACAGTTCTGGCGTCTATCACTTCTATTTGCAAGGAGAAGAAGCAAGGAACTTCCAACAAAACTGATTATGTTCTCACTTAAGAAACAGCGTTTTTGCAAACTTTTCTTATTTTCAATGCACTGTTTCTTGGTCTTTGGGAGCTTTCATCCGTGACGCTTGCACTTGTCAACAAAACAATCTTCACTGATGTAAAAGTGTGACTGGAATTACGTAGTTTTTGTTGTTCCCGTAAAAAAACTCCTGGAGTAATTGAATGTACAGCCAAAATGAAAAGTTTTTTCGCGACCGATTGGATTGATTAGTACGAAGAAAGCTTTCAAAAGAGCTCAAGTGGAATACAAGAATGAATTATTGAGGAATTTATGTGAAGCTATCATAGGAAAATTGATTGAGTACACATTACTTACATAATGCATATCTATGTGAGATCTTACCTGGGAAGTGTTCAAACCTTTTACGGTCATGTTGAAGGAAGACTGAAAAAGGTCTATTGCAGTTTAGTGTATTCATTACAGATTTCACCTGACTTGAAAAAGCTGCAAACCTCATGACAATTTCTCATCGGTGATAATCGTTACTAGCAATTTTAGCAACTTAAGACAAGGTTCGTTACGAGGAACTAGTGAATTAAGTTAGCAAAAGCCCTTCTCGCAATTTCAGAGATTATACCATGCAAAGTTATGCAATATTGTGCAACGTTGCATACGAATTATGAACATTTTTCGGGGTGCTATAAAACGGCAGCAAAAGTTGAGGGGACATCATTCCCCATCATGACCGACGAAGAGAACAGCATCTCCTTCAAATTTCACGTCGAACCCACGCCTCTTCTAGAATTCAAATATAAGAACAAGGACGACCTTTACGCTAAATTCCTCAAGAAAGCAAAACGTCTTGGCTTCCCGGTTGATGGCGTCTTCTACTGCGCCGATTATGATGGCGATATTGTCGTCGTTAGAAATGCTGACGATTTTTTTGCTGCTATTGACCATAACTATAGCGCTAAAGCCTACTTTCCTTGTCCGCCAAGACTAGATCTTCGCTGCACTGATTCCGATAAGGAGGAATGCGAAGTCACAGACAAAACCAAAGGGAAACGAGCGTCAAAGAAGAGCAGGTCCAAGGATTGCTGCCCTTATAAATGTTGCAAGCCTTTAGAAAACTATGGAACTTGCAGCGACTTCGAAAGCCACCATTATCCAGTGCCATGGGGCTATAAGACTTACATGGATTCTGACCACCGGCCATACTTTGATTCCAGATGCTACACCATGGAGCCACGATGCCATTCACACAGACATTGCAGTTGCGAACGTCTCACCAAGGATTTTGAAAAGCTATGATTTCGCAGTCGGATGTTGCATCTCATTTCTTTTCGCAAATTTTGTGGCTTGTTCTATATGTCACTGCTTTCATCTCAAGCAGAATAAAATGGTTATTTCTTGTTGTTGAGTTTGACTCGACAAGTCTATTTCCAATACCTGATATTAAGTTCATTAGGGCATAAGCAAACAACTCTTTCTCTCTAACAGTTTCAGTGTTGCGGCTGAGAAGTCGACATACAATTAGGTCTGATACAGCCTTATTAGTATTTGAAAAGACAGCACGAAAATTGAGAGACAGCAGACTGCATGAGGCCGCGGCGGAAAACTATGCAGCACTGTTCGAAAAAACATCAAAATCTCAAGTAGGCTGAAGTGGTTTTCCAAATCAAAAGATAGAAAAGATTTCTACAGACAATCTGTCGCGAAAATGGATTTCTAAGTCTAAGTTGTGATTAGAAGAGATTACAATTCAACACAAAGAGTATTGGGAAACATTGCACCATAACAACCAATCAATTTACATTAGTGCTACGGTCGCACGACTTCTTGCTTGAGAATTATCGAGCTTCAGAAAGCCTCTTTGTAAGAGTGTAGATAATAGTAACCGTGTACTTCTCAAACTTGTGGACAGATCCGCATGAAAATGATCACGTTAACTGCTTGCATTGTGCATTTCTTCATACAGTCTCATTTTAAACTTGTGTCTCAAAAATTGTGCTTTTTTCGATTAGGTTTATTTCACTACTCTGGTCACGTTGTGGCGTCAGTTATCTCGATTATGAATTATCTTATCATAATACGAAGTACTGATAAAGTCATTGCATCGCACTGTGCATGCAGCATGCGGTGGACACCATGCAAAATCAAACAGAGGATTAAAATCTTGCCACATATATAGTTCTGCTACTCCTTGAACAAAAAGCCTGCCGACCTTAACTTTAATAGTAGAATTAGAGTGTTGGTTACCCTTGGCATGTTAGAACATTGAAGTTAACATCATGATTGTGAAAGCTATGAATGCCGCATCCAGGGCTCGGTACCAGCCAGCACGAGGGTGGCAAATGGACAACGGTGAAACTTTGCTTTTGCTACGATGTTTACGATTTCCTGTTTCACCCCACCAGCTATAGGCTGCTGTATAACGAAGGCGCAATATCTTTAGGCGCGAGCGCGGTTTCATTAGCCGCAGAGCGCATGAGAGGCACAATTTAGAACGGTGAAGATAGCGCTCGCAGCGTTCGCGACCGATCAGCTAATAATGCTTCAGCGCTATAGAGCAGCCTTTATGCGAATTGTTTAAATGGGACGCGCTTTCTCCTTTGAAAAACGGCTCCTGCTATTCCGAATCCTTACTAGAATGAGGCGAAAAGTTAGCAGCAAGTTGTTACTTTATACCAAACCTTAAGTGGAGAATAGATCGTGTAGAAATTTTGAAAAGCTCACGTGATTTGGGGGCTTGCCTACATCGTCGATTTGTAAAAAAAGGTTGAGCATGCTCTTTATTTACGTAAGTTCTTCATAATATAATTCCTTGCTTAGTCCGACTGCACACACACCACATACATGCAGAGCATTAAGACCCTCCTAGTCCACATCCGTCTAAACACCAAATTCTCAGTTAGATCGTTTTATGCGCTGTGACCGAGACATCTGATTGCAAACAATGGAAAAATTTGAATTTTTGAAGATGACGCGCAAAATATCGTATTCTTTGCATGTCAATCGTGTAGCAACTTCGAGAAAGCGATTGTACATGTGAACGTATATTTACGATATCCCCTTTGCTTTCCATGCAAAAGTACAGGAGCTTTCAATCTGAGTGTCACGATCGACGTGGTTTACTCCCTCGCGAGACGCCTCGCTTGGGTCTTTCACGTGGTACAATACCGCATCCACTAAGGCGTTCGCCGTATCGGATGGGCTATCTTACCACGTGAGGGACCCAAGCGAGGCGGCTTGCGAGGATCTGAACCATGTGGACCGTGACACTTAGATTGAAAGCCCCTGTATTTCCAGCTTGATTGCCCACCTCGGCCGGGCCCTCTCGGCACTAGCTGAAACTAGGGATTTTGAATCAAAGTCCCTTTCCTTTCGAAAAATTCTTCCAAGTCCCCCTTGACCTTTTTCGCCCCCTCACTCTTACTTGGCTTTTGCCCTTCATTCAGGATGGGACTGCGATCCAACCCAGAACAGAAGGCAAGAAGATGAATCAGAAAAACGGAAGAAAAGAAAAAGAACAATGGATAGTTATATTTTTAGCTATCGACACATTTCTGCCTAAACAAGAATGAGAAACTGAAGAAATTTGGGAATCGAACGTTCTCGTTAAATTGCCGGAAGAACGGCGGCTAGAACTCGCAAAGACAGCATGTCACCAAAGCTTCTTAACACGGAATAGTTGGACAAGGAAGGTTGTGTATTTCATATATACTAGGTTGGCTCGAAAGTTCTGGGACATTTTTTAGACGATATCTTCTATTTCTCGAAACTTAATGCATGTTCATCCGAGGTACCATTCGATAGAGCAAAGTAAGCTCCACAAGAAGGTATGCAAAGGTTTGCACCAGCTTCGAATTAGCGTAAGTTTGCATCCAGAATCTGAGTAGTACTGAAGGCTCGAGAACTGAGAAAAATTCATATCTTCGTTCAAATAAATCGTACGAATCTCCAAGTTGCAGATTACATACCACATCAGAAATCCATATGTATAAGTCTGCATTTTTTCCTACTCTAGAAGTTGAAGAAACCGAAATCTTCGTACTCATACAAAAACGAAGCTGTGCTGTTTTCACCCATGTAATTGCATAGTACAAGCCCTTAGAAGTATAACAGTAAATTATCAGCTTCACATGAGCCCTACTTTTCGAGAAATGCTGATTTTAGCATGGAACATTTGCGTAAGGAGAGCTAAATTTGATAAAACTCAAAAACTAGAGCTTATGTGAAGCTGAAAATTTACTGTTATACTTCTAAGGGCTTGTACTATACAATTACATGGGTGGAAACAGCACAGCTTCGTCTTTGCATGAGTACGAAAATCTCGGTTTTCTCAATTTCTAGCTGGGTAAAAAATACAGCAACAGTATATTTGAAAGTGTGACGAAGTGTTGTTTTTGTGAGCAAGGGATCCGTAGAATGTTTTTGAGTAAAGATATCAAAAATTTTCGATTTTCTGAGCATTGAGTACGACTCAGATTTCGGCTTCAAACTTGCGGCGGATCGAAGTTAGTGAGAATCTGCACATGCCATCTTGTAGAGCTTGCTTTGCCCTATCGAATGCCCTGAAGCCCTGTTGAAAATATGAAGTGTATGACTTATCGCCGAAATAGGCAGAGTGTAACAAGACTTATGGAACAACCTAGTAGTTACATGATGCTTATCCCGAGTACCGACTTGGGAGCACGTCTCGTCATTTCTAAGTGTTCTTGTCACTTCACGCCTCTTTCCTCTTGTAAAGCATTTCTTTGAACGCTTGTAGGCTTTTACGTTTGACTTATCGTCTTTAACATACGAACTACTCGAAAGGTGTCCCTCAATGGGAGACGAAGTTACTGCAGCGCAAGCCTGCTAGCGTTCAAAGAAATGCTTCATGAGATGAAAAAGGCATGAAGTGACGAAAGAAAAGTAAATGACGAGAAATACACATGAAACTGACGCGGCATGCTCCCATGTAGATACTCCGGAATAAGCGATGACATAGCTGCTCAGAAAACAGAAACTACAAAAGTAAACGTACTCTACAAACCAAATATACTATCATCTACTTACCTTTTTCTCCTTTATTAGCAAAAACTTACCTGAAAAGCAAGGAATAAACAAAGAACTAGGAAACTGTCGCTTTGCAAATTGCAATGGCACTGTTGACGCACAAGTTGTCTCTTCTGCAAGGACACTATATTAAGCAGGAGATCTACTCGACTGTTCGTGCGGTACATCGAAGAATTTCCGTATAAATAAATACAATAATCTTATAAAATAACGTTCAACAAATTTGCTCTTGAGGGAAGTGTGCAAGAAAATATGTCAAACATCGCATATCTAAATAGTATGCGATTTGGAAAATCGCCAAAACATTTTGCAATTTTTTTTCAGGTGCGCGGTGAATTGCTTGATCGAACTAATACGAAATGGTGGATGTGATCACAACACAATGCGTTGCTTCGAAGCTTATTAATCAAACTAACTCTTTGTGCTGCAAAACAGACAAGCCATCATGCTTACACTTACTGATAAAATCGCACGTTCTGCAGCATTGAGAAATGAGTCTAAACCAGTGTTTGAAAGCGCTGCACATAAAAAAATCGCAGCTGTTCGGGGAGAAGCGTTTTGGTAAAGTACAAGCAATTAAGAGTTGAATTAAACACACAGAAAGCTGAGAGTCGATTGGCTTTCAACATGGGAATCGTAAAATTTTCAGTGAAATTTCTACTGTTGTATGGATGAAATGCTCAAGATCTGTTGCACGTTTGCATTAAGACATTATAGACAACTTCTTTCCTCTTTCTGTCCATGAAACAGCTTTTTTATTTCAAAGTCACTAACACTTGGTGGATGGTCCAAAGGTTTGTAGTCCTGAGGTTTGCAACTTCGTCATTCTCACTTCTTTGTCCAGTTTTTTTTTCTAGACTTACACTACAGAAATAATCATGTTTCAAAACTGTAGCATTTTTTTTTGATTGGCAAAGCTTGGGTAAAAAAGGTGAGGATAACAAACTGTAAAGTCAAAGTCTGTGGCTATAAGACATGTGTGAAGTTTTATGAGATACTTTCTTTCCCAGCTGCATGCTCAGCGTGCCCACGTGGCCCTGGAAAAAATCTTCTGGTAAGATTTTTGGATGAGAAGAAAAAGCCCGCGGCTGCATTCTTCGCTCTTTGATAGACATTGTGATATTTTAGTAGGGAAACTTTAACAATAAGTCGAAAGTATTAGCTTTTAGGTCGCATTATTTGGATTGATACATACAAAATTTGACTCTGGTTTTTCGCCTAATCTGGTGGTGTGGTGCCGAAGGCGACGAACTGAAAATTGTCAAAAAGTCAAAAGCTTTTCGGTGCTAAAGTGACATGGCGGCAAACTAAGGAGCTGGAAAGTAGGAGCATATACATTACTCGATACCATAAGTAAACCTCAAACTTAACGAAAGAGATTTGCACAGCTTGCAAGTTGCGATTTCTTCCGCCCCCCCCCCTCCCCAAATAGATCAGACGACCAGAGCTACGTTTTCGCTAAGGTAGAAAGATTGATCATAATCACAACGGAAATCCCCAGAGATTGTTTATGTACGAAAAGTTACCAAAAATCAAATTATTATTGATTTATAATTATTTATATAATTAATTATATGAATATATAATTAATTATATTAATTATATGATTTATTTTTGAACTCAGAATTATTATTCCATAAAATCCTCACTCATCAGATTTGAATAATCGGTCGATTTAAGTTCCGAAGTTTTTCTGTTAGGGTGGATAGAAGTCTTTTTTTGAGATAGGTGTGGCCTTTGACGAAATTTCAAATCTGTATTTTTCGCGAGCTCACAGTATTCCCAAAATAATGATTTGCTTATTGTTAGATGATTTTCAAATACCTTGAGAATGATTCTTTTACTATCAAATTTAAGCCACTATATTTGCGTGGTTATTATCTAGGACATTTCCATCTTCAAAGCTACGAGAAGAGGAGGTGTGAAGGGCTTACAAGCTTCTGTTTGCTTATGCATCCTAGGGATGATCTTTGATTTCTTGAAATAATTTTTCCCACTTTCAAATCGCATGAAGATCTGTAAGTTTTCGATATGTACAGTCAGACATCAAAACTCTGACTTTTATCTCTTAAAAAAATTTTCGCGGGTTCAGTTTTGTTTTCGTGTGCTCCTGAAAGCTCGTAAATAGCCAAAAAAGGTAGAAAAATAGTGATGCCAACGGACAGCCTTCTGCCATCACATGTGCCAAGTACTGGACATTGTCAAAGTTTGCAGAATGTTCCAGAGAAAAACAAAAAGACAACAAAATTCGTAATGTACATGATTAGTTATTTTGACAGTAGATTTGCTAGAAGACAAGGTTTACGAATGTTTTGAGGTATGTCGCAACTATGTATGAAGAAGAATGCGACCTCAGTACAACCTGGTTAAACACAACTCAAGTGCAGCACCTAGAGGAATTTAACGAGATGCTGAGTGACAGCGGTTACGTTCAAAGAGTGCGTAACAACAACAGATTTTATTTGAAATCTCGAACAGCTGATGTGTTTGAGAGAGGGGGGGGGGGGGCACAAATCGTCCCTCTGGATCGCTGGCGGCGCTGACTCGTTGTGTGCGCCACCTAGCCCGTGCCCGTTGCAACAAATCACTCATAGTCGAGAGTCCCCTCACAATCGTAATGGTCCACCCCCGGGTCGTGTAGGAACCTCTGTTTAACACCTAATGTTATTCTGACGTGTGTGCTGTTTTTCCCCCTAGAATGACGATGACCTTTTTCTACTTGAATGACGATTTAACCGCTACTATGCACAGCTGAGCAAGCAGGGCGATTTTTCGGCAAGCTAGGAAAAAAACGAATTTTTTTAGATCGAACGGCGATTCGAAATTGACCAGCGGTGAGATTGTCTGCGCCGCCTCGTTGCGATCACTCCGTTCTCATCATTAATTCATCGCTTTCTAGACCTTCTCGAATTTCTCAAACTTTTAATTTCCTGAAAATTTTGGCACTTAAGACCATATTGACTGCGGTCTTTCGATTTTTTGTCAGAACTCTGACTCATTCATTATCATACACTGTTTCTGTAAAACTTTTCAAATCCGAAAAAAATCATTCACTCATATCTTGCTGATATTGATTTTATTGATTTTCATTCAATTTATTGATCGACTCCATATCCCATACTCTCCCACCTCTGTGAATCCTAGTCTACATACAAAAACTTTTACGATCCAGTAAATTATGTTCGCACTAGAATTCTTTGCTTGACTTCTGCTCTCCTTCTCTCTGCCGCTCAGAAATTTTTCAGATTTTCCGTTTTTATTTTTCAGATCAGCCCGAACACCTATGCAATAGAGATTTATACTAGTCAAGCGGTTTTTATTGAACGAAATGCTGTTCACTGGATCAACAGCGAAGCCGAAACGTGACGAGAAGAAGGAAAAGAAATCTGATCGAGGTCAGCTGAGCAATTTATCTGCATTGAATTTTTAAGTATTCTGTTTCATTCTCGTTTTCTCACAAATCATTGTTCTTTTACGATCATTCGTCATCTATAGCACGAAAGTAATAAAATCTTTGATGAGTTATTGGATATCAAAAACTCACAATCCCACAGAATTATTGCAATTACAGCAAATTTCATTTTTTTCCGGAGGCCATTGTTTTTAAGAAAATTGATAGTTTATTTACTTTTCCAAATTGCTGAGGGTTTTTTATTCTGATTATTTGAGAGTGTACTAACCAAACTGTCGAAGATGCTGAATTTTAAAGTTTTACGCAATCTTCAAACCTACAAGAATTTTTCGATTTTTTAGATTTCTTCAAAAGCCACTGTTTCTTGCATATATTCGGCTTTTAATTACATTGTGATGCCATATTCTTGATAAGTAATTTCTTTTTTTTTTCATTTTTCCTCGGGAATTTTTCCTCCCTTTTGCTGCATTCCCCACTCCTTCCTTCAGAACGATCACAGAAATATTCGAATTCCAAGTTATAACGATTGAGCATTCTTTATTTCACCTATGAATCAAATTATGAGAATCTGTGATGACTAACAGTCTAAATGATTTATCGTCCAAACTATGGCGATTCCAATCTTCTATCATCAGAAATTCTCTGATTCCGTGTTTTCCAAGTTAACTTATAATTTTTCCATTTAAGGAAAAGTCTGAAAATTCAAAATGTCTACTTTTTTAGACGAGAGGTACGACATTCAAGAGGGAGTGTTCGTACGATGGGGAAACTCCTTGTTAGCGAACGAACCGCTTACGAATTTTCGCGATCTGGCCGATTTCAAGTACATTAGTATGATTGTCCATGTTGCCACTGGCAATCCTATGGTGAGTTCTTCTCCCGGACTCTTCGCTGCAAGGTTTTTTCGGAAGTTCCGCAAGATTTATCGCGTGAATGACCAGTGCTTGCACATTTTGCATATGCTCACACACACACTCGGATCCGAGGTCGGTCGCCTGTCTCGTGGCGTCTTTTACACTTTCGCAAAGCGACAGACGGATGGCTATTGATTAGAAATCACTGGAAGAGTGAGAGAAGAAGCGAATGATCCGCGATCGACCTGACTTTAGCTGGCTTGAGCATTTCGGGCTGATATGATTGATCATTCAGAGAATGGGCAAATTGGGAGATAATTCGTGGAAAATGGGAAAAATAAAGGTTTCAAATAGTGAAAAACTGGAGTTTTTTAATGTATTGAACACTGCGGTTGGAAATGGTGACGAAGAGTTTTCTTGAATCCAACTCTCATATTCGATTTTTCATGTTGATCCAAGCGCTCTATCATTCCGAAGATTTCGTGAAAAGAAAGCGTAGATAGATATAGTCAAATTATTTCATATGATCATGTGTGTTATTGCACGCACTGTCCACCATTGGCGTCCCCATCCTGGATTCTAGGAGTAGAAACTCCTTCAGTTGAGTGCTTTCAGTGTTTTCTTTATGTTATCTTTTCCTTCTAGGTTTCAATCTCCACAAACTAATCGAGAGGGATTACAATTGTCACTTTCTTACGTTTCGGCACTTTCGTTTTTGTAAATCCAGGGTGGAGACGCCAAAGGTGGACAGTGTGTGCGATAACACACATGATCATATAGAATGATTCGACTGTAAATGCGGTCGGTTACTATTTTGAACAGCAGTTATTATGTTGGATCCCGACATCACTGAAAATATATCACAAGTTTAATTCGTAGGCCACCATTAGGCGTTAAAAGGCAAGGAAAGAAGTGCTTTGTTTGCTGTACCGCGGTTCTATAATACAAGATTGTCCCGAAAATTTGTCATTTTTTTTCATCAATCACCAAAATTCACAGAAAATCAATCGATGGATGTCTTAGTTATCGTTCCATTCAGATCTTTATCTTCTTTCTTATGGCTGTATTTGCTCTCTGATCTATGTTGTCTTTGCGATGTTCCCAACATGGCTTTTCGAGCAACTTAAAAGTAATGCGAAATTTAAAAAACCTTATACTTATACTTTCAAAGAGGGCTAGCAGCTGTCATATAGAGCAAACCTTTAACTACATAACACCCATTTTAGTTTGCTTGAGTCACTTTTATCAAGGTCTGTAATAATTATTCGGGAAAACTGTGGTTTTTCAACACGTTTAGCATATAAAAATACCGAAATTTCTAAAAAGCTGATTTTTCCAAGCAAATCAAGCTGGATTAAATTGCACAAATAATGCTTATTAACAATCAAATTTCAATTTGCAAAAAATCTGAAACTGCTGCAATTGCGTGTTTGATGACTTTACGAAAAATTGAGACCTCCGAAGAAATACATTTTTTAAAGTAGAAACAGCAGATCAGGAGAATCCAAAAATTATCGCATAGTCCGAGATTTGCTCTATCTGCGCCATAAATGACCTTTCCAAAAGTTTGGAATAAAATTTCCAAAAATTGGTCGAACTTTGAGCAGATAGAAATGGCGGGTGAAGAATTTTTGCAACCATCAAAAAAGGCATAAAGGATTCTGGTTCGAAAATGCCACCATAAGAAAGAGAAGGAAAAGCTGCATGGCATGTTAAAACTCATTTAGGACTTTGTTGTTTTATAGTCGTTTGAAAAAATCGAGCATACTTTGGGCAACCTAATATAACAGGTTTGACGCTGATCATTCATCACTGCACGTTGTGTGCTAGTCGGAAATGATGACTCAAGTTTTGGTTGTTCTCCATGATAAAAGCCTTTTCTCCAGTTTATTATGTGCTTTTGTTTGTAAGGTCAAGTGTGTTTTTGATTTCCATAGATGTCTTCAAAATGATTTTCTTGATTTACAGAACTTCTGTCTAGAAAAATCTCTTACGTTTCTAACATAAGACAAAGTGAACTATTTTTCTAGACTTTTCGACTCCTTACTTGATAGTGGTGTTAAGAGTGGAAAATTTTGAGTTTTCGAAGGCTACACAGATGGAAAGAAGGATTGATATCACATAACTGCTTTCAAAACTGACGTACAAAGTTTTGATCGTCTAAAATTTTTCAGCCGAAGCTCACATAAAAGTCTTCATTATTTGCTTAACTGTAAGCAGACAGATCTATCTTTATACTATACTTTGTATACTGCTTATTTGTTTCATATACAAACGAAAAAGTCTGCTACTTCTGTTGACTCTACTTTTATTCAGCAATTTGCGTCTATCAAGTTAGCCAAATTATTTCGCTGATCTTATTATAAGTGGCAAATGCAGAAAAACGTATGGCGAAGTACAGGATGTTTTTTCTTTTTTTTTGTCGTGGGCCAGATCGCTGGTACGTATTTCTCTTTTGACCCGCGAATCTTGGAGCATAGATCGGAATCTTCCATAGGCCTCGGACAGAGTTCACGCGATTTGATCGTCGCGATTTAATCGCTGCAATCTTCATTCATTTTCATTTCACATTCAAAAATTTCGAGCTGGAAAAGTATCACAACCGAAATGCAAGTTGATCGGCTTGCAATGAACTCGTAACAGTTGTCTTGTAGCGATTGAATCGCGACGATCAAATCGCGTGAACTCTGTCCGAGGTAGGAGGCAATTTCGCGGTTAGATTAAAAATTATTATTTAAACGTATCGTATAATGTGCTTTCCGCTTTATCAGTCAATTTCTGAATCTTTTGAGCAATGCTTCTATCAATTTAACCTTGCGTACTGATCCAGCGAATTAATTTATCCGAGTTGCTGTACGATTACAGTGGAACCCCGAACATAAGATGAAGTGGACATCTGCAAGAAATTTTTGACAGATATGCGCATCGTGTTAGATCGATTTCATCAAAAAAAGAGATATCAATCAATAATCTTCTCCTACGAAATTTCAACCTTTTTGACTTTCAAGGCTTCTTCGATCATGCACAGCCATGCCAAAGATACATCTGGAAATCCCATGCATTATCTTTTTCGCCTGACTACCTGCTTCAGTGTAATAATTAGCGCTTTATCACCTTCGTTGATAATGAGTCCGTCAATACCTAACCTTTTGCACTAACAAGACTTGAAGAAAAGCTTCCGCCACTTCCGAGATTACACTGTTTGGGTCGTAAAAGCTCTTAGGCTCGCCGTTCTATTGCTCCAGGCTTCCTAGGAAACAAAAATTCACGTGTAACTAGAGTGCGAAGCCGTGAATGAAGTTTGTGACTCATAAAGTTAAGAGTAGCATCAAAGCGGAGGGAAGGGTAAGGGGTGGGAGGCGGTCTGGAAAAAGGCGAATGGGGAAGCGTTAAGAGAGGGTTTTAGAATCCACTTAAGGAAAGCACAACTTTGTCGAAAGTTCTTGGCTTTCTTTTTGGGATCTCTTCGTGGCGAAATCGTGGAATTTGGCTAGAAGGAAAAATTTAAGAGATCCTTTGTTTTTTTAATAACTTGTTTCTCAAGTTTTCTATGCTACGGAACATGTGATTTGCTTAAACAAAATTTACTTAGCAGTTTATTTGACAGAGTTATTTCACCGACGCAATGTGCAAATCGCAAGTACCTCAGCTACGCGACTTTCACTGTCTGCGCATCTCATATCCACATGCACTCTCATGCATCCACTACGGTGGGAGAGCATGTGCCTAGAAGATACGCAGACAGCAAGAACTTCACCCCAAGGGTGCCACCTTTTCTGATTCCTCGCATCACGGAAATTATACCTTTTTCTATAGAAAAATTCTCTTTTCAGACCATGAGTGGTAGCCGATATGAGGACAGCATAGCCATTCTCAACGCTATAAACGACAACAAAATCGCTCCGCATGAGCTTGCTGAATCGAATCAGAAAGCTGTTATGGCTACTTGGTGGGGTCTAGTGCAAGCTTTTTGGAAACGATTTGGCCCGGATCCAATATGCGAAGAAAAGGTTTGGATATGTATAGTAATTTTGGCGGTTGATGTAGTGCCTTTGCGGTGCCGACAACATTTGTGCGTGAAATATGGCCTTGGATCGCAGGTTTTTTTGAGTTATGCCCTACATGGCCATTTTTCATGTGAAAGTGCTGTTGGCATCGCTTGGGCACTATATCAAGCGTCAAGTCTAATGACTATTGTTGTTAAACTTTTGTCACAAGGGTAAGATTTTTTTCTAGCTTACTGAAGCCATCAAACAATGGTGTCTGGAAGTCACGAAAGACTATGATGCCGTTTCCGTTTCCGATTTCACATCGTCATGGAGGGATGGCTACGCTTTCAATTGTTTGCTGCATTCTTTCGAGTAAGTTCTTTAGAAAGACTCTCGGTAGTAAACCATGAGGCACCACTTTAGTGGGACATAAAGAATATTTTTGTGCATGTCCTCTTGATCTGTTTGCTTAGCAAAACGATTTGTTGTAATGAGGCACATCTGCCGAGGCCTGTCAATTATTATTTGTGATGATGACCGTAAAGTAGGCCGCCCTCACTCTCGACAACATAATTTAGACGTGTTGCAAACACTTCAAAGATATCTTGAACTGATTTTGGTATCGATTAGGCTGCTGGGATTGATTGCGAAAACTGAAAGCAATTGTATACATTTAGTCTTTTGGAATTTGAACAAAAATCGAAATAACGAGAGTAGTGGTAAGATCTTGCTCGCTTCATGAAGTGGTGGTCAGTTTTTTTCCGAGGGGAACGAGGTGCGCCAGAATTTCTTGCTTGTTCCCGTACCATAACTACGCCTCCGAAAAAAGGGATTCAACAACGCTAATCTAAAATAGGGTTTGGAAAATATCTGAAGCCTTTAGTGATTACATATTACAATTTACACAAACTTATAACCCATGCAAGCTCCATTCAAAAATTCCTGGATTCAGACAACCTTATCTTACTTAAGACTTTTGTTGATGTATCCTTGAGATTACAGAATACAGAAGTAAACTGCAAGCAGGGAGATGCTACTCCTTTTTTCTCGCCCTTTATAGTAAAAAAGAGTGCACAGCTTGCGTCCCAAATTTGAAAGCGTAAAATATGCCTCGGAACACATTTCCCAAAAGGATAGGTGTGAAATAGCTCTGTAACAAAAGGCGCGTTAAAAAACCGCGCATTCCACAAGAATTTCCAATACTGTTGAAATGCACATGTGACTAAGAAGACTAGAACAATTGCTTTGAAGTATTTAAACTACATGATTTCAGTATGATGATCTCGCAAGCCTTCTGCGTTCACCCATTTTATTCCTTTATTTCAAACCTAGATTTCAATAAAAGCAAATTGATCATTTGATTAGTTCTTGAATGTCATTGTGTTACTTTTCTCGCACTTCTAGCAGCTTTATCTCAAAATTGAAAGTATGGTGTTCTTTTATGATGTAAACACGCTTGACCTCAATCGAAGGCTTTGTTACTTTCATATCCCTTATGGACCTGTGATACTTTGCCGAGAAAAGCCCAAAAAAGCCCAAAAAAGCCCAAAAAGCTCAAAAAAGCCCAAAAAAGCCTGAAAACGCCCGAAAAGCTCGAAAAAGCCGGAACGCTGAAATGAACTTTTGATAGAATTCTGATGTTATTTTGATGTGCAGACGACAGAAAATGAAGCAAAAAGGCTCGGTTGCGAGATCAACACACATGCCTTGGCGTCAAAACGGAAGGGGTGTTTCGGGTCTTTAGGGCCTTCTTGGGCTTTTTTGGACTTTTTCGGGCTTTTTCGGGCTTTTCCGGGCTTTTCGAGCTTTTTTTCGGCGAAATATGACGGGTCCGTTACAACTGTGGCAAGAACGCACGATTTCGCAACTAGTGGAAGACTAACTAGTCAGGACTCGTTGACTGTTTGATTTGAGACCGAAAACTAAATCAATTGTCTCCTTTGTTGTAAAGATTAAGATGTGAAACATTACAAAAAGAACCGGTCACATCATGATACTTTTGCACCGAACACATGCCATTAGAATTTTGTAGTTCGCACTTGTCCTCGGTGCCGAACCGGTTTTGGACGCAGAAAACTCGTGTAAAATGCATATGATATTGGTTCCGCCTTGTACAGAAAGTCTCGATTATTCCTTTGCAGCAATATTCTGCTCAGATGATATCGATGAAAATCATGAGCTGTAAAAAGGTCACATCGAAATTGCTGAATTTTCAGCAAAAACCTGGTGGATCTCGAGCTGGTTGCCGAAAGTACGGCAGCGGAACGGCTCGAGTACGCATTTGCGACCGCTGAAAGAGAATTCAAAGTGGCTCGATTGCTGCATGTTAAAGGTATGCTGAGTCCTTTTATAGCTTGTTAGTGGTGCGGAGGGCGACAGTCTCAAATTTGGCGCCAAAAACAGACGCTCCACCACCATCATTTTTGGCGGAATGACATTACTGCGGTATTGGTCAATTTGTGTCCCGACGCGATATAGTGACGTGGCGCAAAGTAGGCACTTCAAGTTGACGTACTGTCCCAATATACCCTAGCCCACAAACGGAATCCTTTGTTTCCGATTTTGTTAAGGATGGGGGGGAGGAAGGGTTGTCGTGGCATACATGATATTACGCCCAATTGTTACGGTAGCGGTCTACTATGGGGTTACGGTAGGACATCAGTATGAAGTCAAAACCTCAGATTTTGCTAGAACTTTGTATAGAGAGGTTTACAATACATATGTGGTTGCCTTTGAGTGTTACACTTTCGTACAAGAATTTTATTATTTGTGGCTATGGTAGGTGTACGGTATGGAAGTCGGGATTACACATATGGCTAAGAATTTGGCCGATAGGGGTTATTTACCTGCTGAGCTAAATTATCATGTTAATTTCGCACGATAGCGCCATCTTCTGGGGGTTACAGCTTGACCGTGTTTTGCAAATATCGCCGCCTTCTGCATACTCCCCCCCCCCCTTCCCATCTGACCGCAATAGCTGCTAGCCAGCTGTATCCACACTTGACCATCAGTTATTTTTCTCTGTTTGCGCCAGTTCGGCGGGGCCCCGTCATCGTCACGGCTACGTCACACATCACGGCGACTCTTCTCGATAGCGCGAATCGTTCTCGTCATGTTCGACAGTCGCTCCTTCCACGCCCGATACAGTCATCGTCGGGATCGTCGCCGCCCGCCACCCGACCCCGTGCACTGCGCCCGCACCCGGCCCCGCTTGCGAACCATCGCACTTCTTCGCATCTCTGCGCATCGTGTCCTCTTCGTACCCACTCGTACTCTCTCTTAACCCCGTCATGACCCGTAACCCGTAATAAAGCGTTCGCTTACATTCGAACGCATGCGCCCGCATACGCTTCAGTATTCTCGACGTTGCCCCATTTGCACTTGCAAACCGTATTTCTGATCGTTTACACACGTCTCGAAGGAACCAAATCGATTTCTCCACTTGCGTTCAAAAAAACTCGCAAAAATGCAGTTATTCTTCATCATTTGGGAATCAACATTCCGTCCCAATTTTTCTATAGCATTTTTTTCTTCCTTCCATCTTTTTTCTCTAGGCAATTTTTATTTTTTGGCCAACAAATTTATTTCGACATTCTTTCCATAGCAATCCTGTTTTTGTTCTTCTTCTCGCTTTTTTTTTCCCTCACAAGTCAGCTGATTTTTTGGTCTTGGACTTTTGTCCATGCAATCTTTCTAATGGCCTGGTTGCTTTTTATGTTATTTTTTCTTACTTCCATCTATGTAGTCAGAAAATCTCTCGCAATTTGCCACAAAGGAATTTCTTTTAGAGGAAATCATTTTACTTATTATACCAGAAAATGCATCATACGTGCCTCTTCCTTTTTCGCTAAAAGCTGCCAATAATTAAGAAATGGTTGAGAACTTGATACCGCTTTAATGCTATAGTCAGTAAGCTGTTGATAAATTAGCAATATTTTTCATGATCCGATAATCTCTTGGTTTTTGCTTGATATATTCAGGATTATAAAATACCCAGATTTCTACAGCTTTCCAAAATACTTTTCATATAGAATCTAATACAATATTCTCACCCTTTTTTGGTTATGAAAATGTTCGTATTTGAAATCTCTTAGCTTCAATCGCCCAATCAATTAGTATAAAAAAGGTAAACAAACAAAGGTATACGTCTTGAAAGCATAGAAAAATTCTTTCTATTAATTTAAAATAATATCCTGGTACTTCAAAATTTTCAAAATTTTTCAGTGATGTGTCTTCGCATCTCCTATTGATTACAAAAACATGAAAAAGTTTTCTACCATAATTTGATTCAAAAACGAGATAGCGTGCGTGATCAGATTTATCTCTTTAGAAATCTTTTATTTTACCTAATCATTTCTACAACATCATCTAAAAATTTACTGTTTCACCTCCAATTTATTTAACGCTTGCGAAGCATGCATACGTTTACACTTCGTTTCCCGCAAAAATGATCTTCTCTTCAGAAGAGTATTTGCCAAAGTTACCTTGCTTTCGACAGGGGGTGTAGGCCCTTTTGAACCCTTCGCGCGCGATGCTCGTGGCGCCGCTGCCGAAGCTAACAAATCGCATTTACAGTAACGGGGAAAATTTTTACTTTGAAGCATGTAGTATATCTGTCTTGAAAATCGCTGTTTCACCTCTCATTTATTTGTCGCGTAAGGAGCGTGATTTCGTTGTTTTCTTAGCAAGTATGTCCAACTATTTATCCCGGAATCTTTCTTGAGTCAGGTATCATACTCTCAACAAAATTTGAAAATTGTTCTTACTTATATGTCCTTCTGAGTCCATTCTTTATAGGAAACGTGCTTAAATGTTCACTTCAAAAACATCTTTCATTAGCAGTCGTATTTTCTCAAACGTCCTCTTTTACTGCTCATTCTTATACTGGTTGGTAATCCTCACTTCAAAAATCTTTTTTGCTAATTTTTCAAATTTTGGTTACCACATTTGAAAAACTGCTGTTTCACCGCTTATTTATTCTTTGTACTAAGAGCATGCTTACGTTCGTCTACCTTGTGTTGCAAGTGTAGGTGGATTTTTTCGCCATTTTTTGTCTATGTTTCTACAGGTGTCTTATACCCAAAAAAAGATTCTTGAGCTGTTTCACCGCCCAGATATTTGTCGGGCTGAAGGTACGCTTTCGTTCGTATTCAGGGATGCTTTTATTAGGAGTCTGATTCATGATATCCTACTTTCATCGAAATTTTTCAAGAACTGCTGCTTCACCACCTACTTACTCGTCTAACTCAATGCGTTTTTTCGTTAACTGAATCTGTTCTAGCAAACGTGCCCCATTTTATCTGATGTATTTTCTGCAAATTGTTTGATTTTCTCAAAACATTTCAAAATTACTGTCTCATTGCTCATTTATCTACGCGCTAGGAGCATACTTACGTTTGTCGTGTTTCTTTCGAAGTACAGATTCATTTTTTCCTGCGAGTCTTTTTCATTCTAGATATCTTATACTCGCAAAATAAAACAACTTCCACCTCCATATTTGTCAGGCTGGAATCATGCTTTCGTTCGTATTTCTTTTCCAGCTCCAGTCTCGCAATTGTGCTTTTTGTCAGAAATCTTTTTCATGCCAATTCTCTTATTCTCACCAAAACTTCTCAAAAATTGCTCTTTCACACCTTATTCATTTGCCACGCTAGGACGTTGCTTCCTTCAAAGGCACCGTCCGCCCACATTCTCTACTTCTTGTTTTGTTCTTTCTGGGGCCTTCTCATGTCCCTGATTATGAATATGAAGTCGAAAATCCCGAAATCGCAATCCCCGTTACGAAAAACCCGCAGGCCGATTTTCCAGAACGGTGACTGGATGGGCACGCATGGATGGGCGGATATTACCGGAGGGAGGCGGTGCCGACTTCTGGTCCTCATGCATCTTCGGTACCGAAGCGATTTTCTCGCTTACGAAGCGGCATTTTACGCCGCGACATGGGCATTGGCTTGATTGGGGGTCCTATTAGGCTCATGACCCCTAACGTAGGGTGGAAGGTGCCTTTGAGTCTGCAGGTCTGAGCATGAGCCTATCTAATATTCAAAAGTGCATTTCTCTTTGATTGAAATATCCCTTCTTATGTGGAGAGAAGTTGTTCGCAGCTCGCACGGCAGCACAAGTGCTCTATTTAACAAGATGCGCGCCAAGCGCAAGCATTTTTACAGATTGCTCACATCTGGTCGGTAAGCTTTATATTCCTTTACGAAGATTCATCACTCCCTGGAAAATTTATTTCTCTCGGACGTTCCGGCGCCTTGTTGAAAGCTTTTTTTTATTCTCTGATAATCTTTTTCTGTGCCCTATGAACTTTTTGAAGACTACATTCCAAACTGTCCACCAACTTTTTTGAAGCGCAAAATTTTCATTCGTTTTTACATTCAGCCTTTTCAACCTTCTCAACAAATATTAAATGCACTCGAATGCGCAGCTATTGAGCCTTGTCTACTTCAGCTGCCACCGATAGTCACGGAGTTTTTTTTTTCACTGTGAAGGGGAAAAGGGTCTTTCAATGAAGATTGCCAATCCCTCAAAAGTTTTCTTCTAACATACTATTCTTTCGAAATCTCTTGATTACGGTAGTAATTGGAAAAGAGCGGTTCCCATGGAAAGAAGGGTAAATTCTTGCGTTGCTATGTTAGCCGAAAACCAAATGAGAACGAAGTTTTCGTATTTAATAAATTGCATATACCTTCTACTGAATATTTCACCAATGATTTTATGATAGTCTGTAAAAAAACAATTTGTTTATTTCTTCGTTTTCTTGGCCGCCCTTGTTGCTCGAAATCAATTTTTGAATGGAAATTGTTGCTTCTTCCAATTTACTATCACCAGCTTTGTTTATCTTCTATTTAGTTTCACTGTCAAATCAAACCTTCAGCGAATAGCCCCATCAAATCCTGTCACAATAACTTTTCGTTCAAAGAAACAAATAAGCAATTCCGGACTCAAATCGTTCATCAAAACTTGCCTGCTTCTTTGTCCAAATTCTAATCGTTTTCTTTACTTCCCATCCCTTAGGAATTCCATTCCGTTCCGTAACTAAGAGACCAGTTATGGTACAAAGAATACCAAGCTCTGTTTTGTCTTCTTATCAATAGTGGCTGAGATGTCTTGAAAGCGGCATGCTTTCATCTCTTCTAAATCGCTGCGGTTGGAAAATTTTTCTATCACAAAATTTTTCATGAAGCACTAGATTTCAGGCTCTGTAAATTTGAGACCTTTTTCAATAGTCACGACTTCAGTACATATATTCGTTTAATTTTCATAACTCAGAATTTCGTAGAAGACTACTATGTGCAAACGTTTGGTCGTCATTTTCTTTCCCTGAAT